GAAATTGATCACAAAATGGGAATGAGTATCAGTCTGCCGGCAGCACTTTGTGGAGGGGATTGACACACCGTCTTCCCACCCACTGCTCTGTTCCAGGACTTTCTCACCTGAGTCATTGGCTTTGTAGCCACAGACTTGAGAACTGGGAACTGGCTCTAGGTGGTGTCACGGGCTCAGCCTGCCTCACTGGGCTTGCTGTCTTCCCAACTGGAGCTTTCCCGCGGCTGCTCGCATGCAGGGCCACAGCAGCCCCAGGGCACCTGGCTTTCTCCCCTGTCTGCTGCTGGCCCTCACATTGCCAGCAGGGAGGATGTTCAGGGAGGACTGTTTTATTGTCCAGGAAAATCTGGCTTGAGTTTGTTTTTACAATTAGAAACCCAGCTCCACATAAATGGTGCTGTTCTTTTTATTTTTTTTTTAATTTTTTACCGAGTTATAAATGTTGACAGCTGGAAGTGCCAGGAGAATCAAATTACTGTTTCTAACACTGGGCTTTTGTGTGGTCTCACTCTCGGGTCCTCATGGGAAACTGATGCCATGTCACACTCCCCTTTAAAAAAGATGGCTTGAGTCCTAATATGTTTTGCCAATGGCAAAAAACAAACAAAAAATCTTTTCCATTCTGCTTCCCTTGCTCATTATCAATCCAATGGAGACCAGAAGATGATGACATGAGCTTCAATTAAAGCAGAAGAGGTTGTAGACAAATATTTCTAAAACATCCCTTGCATACTAGGGGGCAGAAAACACTAAAATGGGTAAAATGTGGGTTAAATGTATCCCACACTCTATGTCTTCAAGAAGAGAGAAAATTTTCCTGAAAGGGTGATTCAATTGTTCTCCTCCCTCAATATAAAAACAAAACCAGTGTACTTTCAGAACATTTTCAAGCTATTAATCTGATTTTGTGGATGAGGAATCATGTGGTTTTTCATCACTTTTTGTTTTTCACTGAAGGAGTATTTCTGAATGGCTCCTGCTCTTCCAGGCGTTTCTTATACAGCACCAAAGGGAGGCGCCCACGGGACGTGCTGCCAGCGTTCGGAGGCCTCTCACCAACTGCTAAACTGATCGGAGCAACTCCCCTTATGTAATTATTATGGGGAACATCAGAAGTCATATTATTTTTTTCCTAAAAAAATGATTCAAGTATACTTGACATATTATTTAACATTGAAAAAAACAAACTTTTGGAGACAAATTAGATACAGTAATCAGAGATTTACATAATGTTGAAAAGACAATTATTTCTTCATTTTTTGTTTCACTATTGACATAATGGTAAGTATCATCACCCATGCACAATGGCTTTGTATAATAAATGTGCTGAAAGGTAATTTTCCAATCATCTTTCAATGTGAGAAGAATGGATACCTCCTCCTATGAACGCCATGAGACACATCACCCCTTTCCAAATAAGAAACTCCGCTGGCTGCATCTGGATGCCCGTCCTCACGAGGCCCTCTCAGGGATACCACGCAAGTCACTATTCAAGGGGAGACTGCCGCAGCTCATCTGTGAGGCTGCAGTCAGCCACAGATCGCGAGTTTATGAAGTGCCAGGGCACAGAATTAATGTGCACGCCAAGCCTGCCTGGCTTCACCATTGACCTCTCTGAATCTGACACGCTTCACCTGAAAATAGGAATAATAATTCCCTACCAGCCTGGAAGCAAGAGCAACATTTTTGAGGAATCTCTCTAAATTTTTTGATTTATCAAGTCAGTGTAGTATTTTCCCCAGGGGATTATAAGTTTGGAGTAATTTCAGTTGATTTTGACACAAATAGAACAGTTGGGCTAGGGGAAAAAGTGGGCCTATGAAAGAGCAAAAAAGAAATAAAGTCATAAAATGAGAATCATGGGCCCTCATCTTCACAACATTTCTACTCTGTAATTGCAGCATAGCTAGGTTTGGAGGGAATGAGACATTTTCCTTGCTACAATATACACACGAGCATGAGGGCAGGTATGACTGTCATTTCTGATATGTACATGCAGATCTTCAAGTCTTGGAAGATCAGTTACCAGACTCTTCATTTTCATTCTGCAGATAAAGACAATAGTACACTTAGGCTAATTATTTTTCTACCAAGGTCTCATGACTGGTTAGCAGCTGAACTTAAATGCATATTCAGATCTTTGCATTTCACTTTCAACAATAAGTGGTAGCCCTTGGGTTTCTCTTGCCTCATCCTCATATTGTCTGACACATTAGTATAGAAAAATAAAACAGAAAGGGTGAGACCATGGATAGTTCCAATGGCCCGATCGCCACATGCCTGCAGCCTACATTTCAGAAGCTACATGTAATAGAGTTTCTCCTACTCTGTTAAAGAAATATGACCAGCGTAATGGCATGGTTGCAAATGTTCCTAACCATCACAGTGATAAAACAGCCTGAAGTTAAAATATTGATTCTGAGAATCCAGCGTGCATTGACTCATGTATCCGCACTTCAAGCTGTCACATTGCAATGGCAGGGGCAGTGCTGAGAGGTGCATCCTATTCTATAAAGTGCAGCCTGTTTCTGGTGCTCAGGAAGCACTCATGACCACAGCGGCAGTGCCAGTGATTGCAATGCTGAAGGATGCTCTGTTTTGATTGAAAGATCCTTCAGTGGACAAAAGTATCTAGACAGACACATCCAAATTAATATTTAAGTAATGCCACACTTAATCTATCCCAGTAAGGAGTGCATACCAATTAAACCTTTCCCTGCCTAGCAAATATAAATATCTAGAGTCTCTAAATTTCTGAATGATAAAGAATGCAATTCTTCATATTGGTGACTATAATGAAGCAGAGCTTATTTAGTTAGTTAGTTATTGAACACCTGAATTACACAAAATGGAAATGTTGGGACTTCAGCTTTTCTGCCCACCTGACATTTCTAAACACACATATCGCTGAACACTAAACAGTAAAATTCAAACCAACAGACTAAAATGACCTCCAGCAGCCTTTTTTCTTCTTTCAAGTACATTAAGACAAATTCAATAAAGCAGAGTAACATCTGAGATGGGCCTTATTGGAGAGAAGCATCGCAGAAGCAGGTGCTCTTGCCGCAGCTGACCTTGGCTCCAGCTCCGGCAAGCACCTCCAGCCCCATCCACAGGCTCCTGCAGCGCTGCATCGTGATCAATTTAACTGAGACGTCTGCAGACAAAATCCACCACAAAACACAGCTGCTTCCTCTCCCTTCTGACTTGCACAGAGTTTATCACATATTCAGTCCATATGATAATTTCATAGCTACATGAAATTTACATGAAAGGGTAAAAAATATGATTCCATCTTTGTATATACCTTTCAGCCAGGAAGATTCATAAATACTGCCTGAAGATAAATTAAACTTTGGCATGGAATATAATTTATGAAAATTGTGAAATGTTTCAATTGATTTCACCAAAAAAAAGATACTAAATTTTGATGACTAGCAAACTTCCTCAGAGAAATAAAATGTGATGTTTAAATAGAATTAAAGCAGCAATAGAAATTTTTAAAAAATTTAGTAGTAAATCATATCACTTACACGGATTATTAATTAAGCAAATGACTTACAATAATAAAAAATGTTTTTAATCACTTATATTTTAGATTCTGCTGGGTCTATAAAACATGACAGAAGAATAAAGAAATACGTTCTTATTGAGGAGAGAGAATGACATCCTCACATTCTGTTACCTGTTTCCCTTAGCTGGAGTGATGTTAGTCACTACTATCCTCAGAGTTAAGCTTGCACAATCCTGACTGAATTTAAAGGGAGCCAGTAGGAAACACCCAGTGCGTCCTGACGGCATTTTGTCCCTAGCCGTGGAGCCACATAGTGTGGGAGTTGGTGAAAACATAAATAAATACATAAACAGAAAAGGAAAGAAAGTTAAGTCTGGACAGACTGACAAATTCTGTCACTTATTTTATATCACTGATCTAAGCATCTGAACTTCAAGTTTTATATAAGAGCACACTCTTGGCTTAGGTAGTATTGCAATAGCTCTAACATTTAGAACTTTTTTTTCTTTTCTTTCTTTTTCTTTTCCTTTTGTATTTTAAAGGGTTACAAGCCCTCCTCAATCCACTGCCAAAACTCTTTTTAAAATAATGGGTTTTTAAAATAATTTTTTTAAATAATAAAACTCTTTTTAAAATAATTATATTAGGCCAGGAAACTACCTCTACCCCTCTCTTTTGGTCTCTCCCCACCCCTACACACACACACACACACACACACACACACACACACACACGCGCACACACACACGCGCGCGCGCGACCACATGCTCCATTGCTCTATTCATCTTTCAATCCTCACCATCCAACAGGATGCCTGACCTGTTGCAGATGCTCACTAACTATTTACAGAATGACAGAAGGCAGGAATGACCCAGGGAATGGCATCTGGATCCTTGGATCCCTCTCGGACCATGATCAGCAGTGGCTGGCAGTCCAGACAAATTGTCACAGGATGATTCCAAGTGGTGTGATTTTAGGGAGAACCAAAGACGCCCCTAGTTTATAAAGGGATAGTTCCTCTCCCAACCATATCACTGATGACTGAAATCTCTGAGTTGGCTCCAGCATCTCATTACCCCCGTAACAGTGATTATAGGAGTCAGGCATCACCAGGGAGGGAGTTCCCTACTGCCTTACATCACACACCAACTAAGGTGTAGAGAGTTGACGTGTCCTTTCCCTAAGAATAGATTTTGATTATAATGATAAAAAGGGAGTCTATGGACATCTGAAGGTAATATATACAAGGGGGAAATACACAAAGACTCTGGGATCTCCCCAAAATCTGCTAAGGGGTAGCATAATCTTTAATTGCTATGACGAATGAAACCAGAAAGAAATAATTGGTAGAATTAAATGTAGGATCATAAATGCTTTATGACACACTTTCCCAGGTCTAAAATAAAAGAGAGATTTTCCTTGGACCTTGGTCATGCAGTGGTCTTACAGGGGTTTAGCACAAAGGTCACTTTAAGACGTTGCCTACCTACAAACAATTGGCTGGTCAGCTGCAGTCGGAAGTGGCCCTCGTCCGAGGTCTCCCTGGTGCTGCTCGGAAGGCTGTCTACCTGGAGGGAGGTCTCCTTGAGGTTCCTCTCGGCCCGGACATAATGCCATTGGTTGTCATTCAGAGGAGAAGGAGACTGGACCACAAGCTCTACAGGGCCATTCCCAACATCCATGGCAAAAGTGATCTCTGAAGGAGCTGAAACCAAAAAGGAGAACAGGAGAGTGAAGGCAGTTGTCGGTGCATCCAAGGCACAAGCATGTGCGTGGGAGCAACAATTATAAGTCAATATCAATGTAGAGAGGACTTCTTCCAAAATCCCAGCAGCACTGAAATCACCATTAATAGTAACAACTACACATGATGTGTATATACATGTCCCAAGCTCTTTTTTTTTTTTTTTTTGCCCAGTTGGTCCATGTCGTGCAAGTTCAGAAAACAAGTTAGGGACCTGGGCCATCGGTGCCTGTCTGATAAACACATTTCAGTGCTGAGGTTCTGGGTATCCTGGGTCTATTCTGGCTTTAACAGTTTCTTCCTGGATATCTGTAGGCCTAGGGTTAGCTAGGCAGCTCCACTGCTGCAAGGAGGAGACCTGTGCCCTGGGAAGCCCAGTGCCCTCTTCCATATTTCATTAACGCATGTGATACAAGCATTCATGATAGCCTTTCCCCCCACAAAAAGAGGTTACAAGTTGCAGTGCCTGCAACCAAACCCAAGCCTCTCGCCTTTATGCCAGACTCCTTACATGATCCTTTCTGCCTCTATAACAATATGCATATCATAAAAGCCAGGTGTCAGCCAATCAGGAGTAATAGTTCCAATGATGATGAAATGACAATGGTGGTGGTGGTGGTGGTGGTAGTGATGGCAGTGGCTGACAGTTCAGACAAGTTCAGGTGGTGGTGATGGCAGTGGTGGTGGTGGTGGTGGTGATGGCACAGTGATCGGTTACGGGTGCAGTAGCGCGTAGTTGGCTCGATGAATGGCTTGGTGGTCGATCGGTGATTGGTGGCTGGTGGTGTTGGCTGGATGGTGACCTGGTATATGGTGTGGCTGGCGTCGATGGTGATGGTGCTGATGGTGATAGTGTGTGCGTGGTGGTGAGTGGTGGTGATGGTGATGGTGGTTGGTGTGATGGTTGTGATGGTGATGGTGGGTGCGTTGGTGGGTGGTGGGTGGTTGGTGATCGTCTGTGAATGGTGAAATCGGTGGTGGTGGTGATGGTGAGAGTGAGGTGGTGTGGTGGGTTTGATGATCGGGTCCGCGTGCTGGTGGTGTGATGGCTGATGGTGGTATGGTGGAACGAGCTGGTGGTGGTGGTGCATGGTCGGGATGGTGGTATGTGATTGGTGGTGTGCGTGATGGCTGGGGTTGCGTGGTGGCTGGTGGGGCTGATGGTGGTGCACGGGGTGGTGTGATGTGGTGGTGGTGGCTGATGGTCGGTGGGTGGTGGTTGGTGGTGATTGATCTGGTGGTGGTGATGTGGTCGCGGTGGTGATGGTGTGGGTCGGATCTGCGCTGGGGTGACTTTTGGTGGTGGTGGTGGTGATGCTGGTGCGTGCGTGAACTGCGTGGGGTGGTGTGGGTGCGGCTGGTGAGGTGGCGGCTGGGATGGTGGTGCTGGGGAGGCGTTGGTGATGCGTGGTGGTGTGATTGTGGTGATCGGTCTCGGTGGTGGTGGTTGTGTGGCTGGTGGTGCGCTGGTGACTGGTGGTGATGCGTCCGTGGTGTGATGGTGCGCTGATCGGCTGGTGGGTGATGGTGGTCGGTGGTGATGGTGGCTCGGTGGTGGTGGTGGTGGTGGTGGTGGTGTGTGCGTGGTGACTGGGTGGATGGCGGTGATCGTGGTGAGCGTGGCTGGTGGTGGTGGTCGTGGTGTGGTGAATGGTGTTGGTCGATGGCGAGGGTGCGATGGTGTGATGGACAATGGTGGTTGATGGCGTGTTGGTGTGCATATGGTGTGGTCGCGATGTGCGGTGGTTTGTGCGGTGGCTGGGCCATGTCTGCTTGGTGCTTGGTGTAACCATTAACAGCAAGCGCCGATGGAGGATATGGCAGCCCAAGTAGGGTACACCGCACACACCGCAAGGTCAGGAACCATGCTAAACAATGATAGTTGAGTGTCTCATTTTAATTCTCAAAACTACTCTATGAGAACATCAGCCCCATTTTATGAGTGAAAAAATTAAAGTTTCAAAAAGTATAATTTTCTCAGTTTCCCAATAGTAAGTAGAATATGACTTCAAAGAATTCTTCACTGTTTTGCTCTATTGAGTATATTATATTGTATTTTCCATTATCACCCGAGAATTTCCTCAATCTAAAGGAAATGGAAAGGTTGATGACAAATTGAGGTTGAGGAAAGAACAGTCTCCTTTGCATAACCAGAGCCTCCTGCGCCAGACATTCCCTTCCTTCCCAGTACCTTATGATTATTCCCTCCCCCTTATCCTCTAAAACAGGCAATGTGTATTTATTTGACAAAGTCTAAATTACCATAAATGCCAAAGGTTAAACAGCACCCTGGATCACTCCTTCCGAAGCCTGTAAACCCTAACAGAAAGCCATCCTCAGTATGAGAAACCCACATCGTGCAGAATTTCAACTCACTGAGAGTTGAATTGCTTTGCTTTCTGGTGCGCCCTGATCTTGAGAGGCAGATGGCGGTAGCTGTAAAAAAGGGATTTGAGAGCATGGACTCTGGAGCCACTGTGACCAAAGGTGAGTTTTGACTCTATCCAACTTTCTCATCTGAGAAATGGGAATAAAAAAAGTACCTAATCATCTGGTTGTTTGTGCATGAATCCTAGTGAAACTCTTAGAATTGTCATGGCACATAGTACCTGCTCAACAAGTGATAGCTATTGTTATTATTACTGTGTTGCATGATTTGCCAAGCCAGGTACATTGGCTTTGGTTTACAAATCCATGCATTAAAGGAAACAGAATTTAAGGGAACATATTGGATGATAAGTAATTAGATAACTAAGTAAGAGTGAAGGTGGCCCTTAGTGTCATTCCCGTTTCCTATTCAGACCACTAGTGCCACCTTGCAGCCCTGCACATCTCAAAATCAAAAAACACTAAGAGATGACTGGGCCCCACATTAATTTTTCTCTATAGAAAACAGAATAAAGATTAGTGAGAATTTTGGGAAGCAATGTTAAAGATTTTGCTAAAAGCCTTCCTGCAAAGCTGGTCTTGTGGATATTAAATTCCACTCAGCACATCTTGATGGAGGGCTTACTGCTCCTCTGTGTCTGCCCCTGCCCCCTGGCCACCACTTCCATGTCAGGCTTCCTGTCCGTGCTGACCTCTGCCCCAATCTTCATCCCCTTTTTGTGCAATGATCTGTTTACTGTCTCCCCAGCCAGTCTGCAGACTCTTAACGAACGCCTCATTGATTATGTACCCAGCAGCTAGCACTGTGCCTCAAATACAGGCAGCTCTCACCCAAATTAAGGTTTATTCATTAAAACACTGCAACACCGCACACACTAAATGCAATTTTGCAATTTTCTTTACTTTTTGTTTTTTAGGTTTATACCAAGATATTAGGGTTCTTGGAAAATCTTTTAAAAGTAAGTTTATTCAAGTAACTATTAAAGACCTACTATATTTAAGCCATTTCTCCTAGAACCAAGGAAGCATAAATAAAATGCAATCATAATTGCTAATATTTACTAAGTGCTTACCATGAGCCAGGTCTCTTGCTAAGCATTTTTCATGAATCAACTCACTTAAGCCTTGCTACAACCTTATGAGACATGTAGTGTTTTACAGCTAAGGAGCTGAGGTACAGGTAGCTGAGTGAGTTGCCCCAGTGGGATGGGGCAGAGTCAGGACTTGAATCCAGGTAATGTGAGCTCACTTTTTAAAGCACTCCTTCAATGACAAAACCTCTGGAGCTTAAAACCTATGCAGTTTCCCTCGGCAGGTAAAGCTAGAATAGATAGTATAGATGCCTGGAAACAACTGATGGGGAAGAAGAAAAAAAAAAAGTGAGTGAATGAATGATGCATCCAAGAGGGGTGAGTATGTGGCAGGGGACATGAGGCGTACTTGAGCTAGCTCCCACTTGCTGGGGGAGTGGACATAACCCAACTGCCCTGGCCAGCAAAGCGGGGGCCTGTGGCAGCATCCTGTGAGCTCCATTGGGAACTTTCCTTCTAGCCTCGCCTTCTTCCAACCGCTGACAAATTTCCCTCCCCATCTACCCTTTTGTGGTTCAAGACAAAGCTAATGAGTGTCCTCCACCTTTCAGTGGGTCATCAAGCCAGGCCCTGTGCTAGACCCTGGGAATCCAGAGATGAATAAACAAGATGAGCTCACAGTTTACTTTTGAGAAGACTGACAAAGAAAGGGCACATTGAGTGCTGTAACAGAGTGTCTACTGCGTGGTCCTAGGAATGAGAAGCCTTCTAAGGAAAATTCCTGCGTGATATTCATCCTAAACTACCCCCCTGCCCATTAGCAGTGGTCCCCAACCTTTATGGCACCAGGGACTGGTTTCATGGAAGAGAGATTTTCCAAGGGGCTATTGGAAAGCAGAGCTCAGGGGTGGTGTGAGTGATGGGGGTGGCTGTAAGTGCAGAGGAAGCTTCACTGGCTTGTCCCCGCACACCTCCTGCTGTGCCGCCCAGCTGTGCAGAACAGCGGCCTGCGGCCCAGGACCACAGCATTAGAGAACATCCTGAGGACCCACCCAGCCCTCTACCCCAGTACTCAGCCCCGAGCTTCACAGAGACGGAACCACAGCTCCACTTCTGCATCCTCAAGCCCCACCCCGTCGGCTTGGCAGAGAGCTCAGGGTCCATTTGTAGAATAAAGAAGTTGCACGGCCTTCACCTAGTCAATGAACCATTCTGACCTCCCACGTATTCATCTCTAAAATGAAATATTGTTAAACTTTTTTGGAAACATGAACTCTTTCATGGTCCCTACCTCCAGAAATAAAAAGCACATACAGTTTTGCACAAAATTGACGGGCTTCCTGAATGACCCATGTTTCAAAACCTGGAGGTAAACAATTATATGTTTTCTTGAGTTCTAACATTCTTGAATTCTGAGGTGGTTTTGCAAAGCAGGAACAGTGTTGCTCTAAGGAGCCCTGAAGGTCTGGTGGGGTCCTGGGCCCTGACCTTTCCCAGCTGTGGGACTCTGGGCTTGTCACTGGCCCTCCCTGGGCTCATCTTCCTCATCTGCATATTGAGCACTGATAGCCACATTATCAATATAATGATAATCTCAGTTCAGATTGCTTTAAAACAAAATAAAACAATGAATGTCAAGAATTGGGTATAGTATCTAGTCAGAATAATTGCTCAACAACTCAACAAAAACTTAATTGTTAATAGTATTAATTTTTACTATTTTCTGAAATTCTGACTATAGTATCTTTCAGTCAACATTACATTTGATAATATTCTTAGTATGATGCCTCTGAAATTTAGAAATGGAATCTCTCTTCCTCTCTCTCTATACACACATACAATTTTTTCCACTAAGTAACTCAGTAACTAAGGACCACCCCCTTTCTAATAATACTCAGAGTTTGCTTTGGAAAACTATTCCCTCTTTCCCTTTTCCATGGGCTCTGGGAAAACTAGCCCACTCCCAGGTGCAGGGCTGGCCCGGCATAAACCAGTCTGCAGTCTGCACTTCCTGGCCACAGGCACTGGCGCCCAGGCTGCCGGGCGAGCTGCATCCCAGCATTGCCTGGAGCTGGGAGAGCAGAGCTTCCTCTCCAGCTGGGTAAAGCTCCACCAGGAGGGGGCTTACTTTAGACACAAGTAGACATTCAGAATTCAAAGCAGAGAGAGGAAACGATCAGACCACTGATAACTTTGTTAAACTGCTGAATCCAACCAGACATGAAGCCAGTCCCGCCTCCTCTGGACTGAGTCACATGCTCCAGGACCACTGAATTTCCATTCTTGCGCCTGCCAATTCAGACTGGGTTTTCTGTTAATTGCAGCCAAAGGCATCTGGTTGGCATATGGGTGTCTCCAACCCTGTGTTGTCTAAATAAGACAGAAGCGGGGAAGAACTCGCCCAAGGCGGCTCACAAACCCACTTGGAGGAACAGAAATCTGAATCCACGTTGAGTTCTACAGTCTAGCCTCTTTCTGCTAAACTAGGCTGACTCTGCAAAGCCCCTGCCTTCCAGTCCCCTCACCTACTCCAAAGTATCCACCTATGCAGCCACTGTGAGATAATTGTCAAAACAGCTGATTTTTTTCACAGTTCCATTTGAAACGTATTCACTACGACTTGAGAACATAGAAACATTCTTTTCATAGAATACAGACTATTCCCAAGGCTACAAAATTCAAATATCTTAGTTGGAAGCAGCTTGGAAGGGAAATTTCATGGAAACCTGCTGTTCCCTGTCCAACCATTTGGATGTATCAACCTTGGAAACTGCTGCTCAGATAGTTATGGAGGAACACCCCTTGGGAAGGAGGGAATCTATTCTGAGCCACTGCATCTGTTAAAAGGCCATTTCCTTTCCAAGTAGCTGAACTATAGAGGTTTCTTACCATGAACCCTTTAGGGTAAAAGTTCCATCTGCCCAAAACGCAAAGTTCAAATGTAGCTTTAAATAAGGAATGAAAGATTCCCTTTTCTCAATTTGGCCTCTTTTTCTTTTTAAAATTAATAATAAAAAATATTTTAAGAATTATGAGGCATTGAACTTTTTAAGATTTTTATATAAAATCTTGGTTTGGAAAATTATATTCCCCAATCTAGTGATAAAGTACATACCAAACAATTACATCAAGGGATTTTTATTTTTACCAAATTTTATCCCAACTTGCATTAAAAACACTTTATATAACCCAAAGGGCAAAATACTGTACCACAAAGTACAAATTGGACATTGATATGTAATTAATGCTAAATCATCAGTCATTACCTTATGATAACACACCATGACATTTGCCACTGCTTTAATGAATCGAAAAGCCGTGGGGCCTGATTTTTATTAAATTTACACTGCAGTTATTATATTTATATTATGGAATGGTTGGCACTCACTTCCCATTTTCAGAGGCTGGCCAAGTTAGGTATGAGGGATCTTATTTCACACCAAAGCCACAAGAGCTTCCTCCCATTAGTAGTCTAAACTGTTGGAGTAAAAGGAGGCTAAAACTACCACTTAAGGAGATCTCTTTCCTTGTATGTGCTGTGCTGTAAGTGCAGAAGAACCGCTTAGCTGCTTGGGGACTTTCAGGAGACTTAAACGCCACCACCCTCTCTTCCAGTCAGTGTTTCTGTCTCCTCTTCTGAAGCTCTCAAATTTCCAATTTCTGTTGCTGAGACATTACTTATGCTTTCAAGGGCTTTTTGTGCAGTCACATCCTTATTGTGATATGGTCAATTGCCTTAATCAAACTATGGAAAACATCCATTTAGACACACGTAGATGGGGCACCTCAGGAGAAAGTGTCCATGGCAGGGGCACGGTAAGGCTGCGAGTGCAGTCCACCCTGTGTGCAAGCAATAAGAGGTTGCATAGAGCACAGAGAACCTAAGGACAATAGCAAAGTAACGAGAAATGCACGTGCTTTCTTATTATCACCACACACAGTAATTCTAAGCATTGTCAGTGATAAAACGTTCTCCACCAAACAAATCTTTCGTTGGTCTAAGTCTTAACAGATGCTGAAGCTACTGTTAATTTTTAAGAATGTATATGTAAACTTCAAACTAGCATATTTTTATTTTCGATCACTTAATAAATACTATATTCGACAGGGAAATTAATACAGAGAACTCCAGATTTGTCATTGGCTCCTGAACATGCAGACTCAAATACACGTGTTCACTTTCAAGAGTGAGAACTCAGATTCTCGTTCTCATCTTTACGTTTGCTGTGCTAACACGATTTGACTCAAAGTGACTGCTGAGTGCACGGATGTGCAGAACCACAGGGGTTAGAGGCACAAACTGCAGCCTGAGAGAGCTCAGGCAATTTCAAGTCCTTAGGAACTTTGTAGTTTTTTACCTAACAGAAGAGAAATCTATGATGGATTTTCTGGTGAAAACAGTTCAGTGGAATTTTTTCAGTTTTAGACATATTTGAAAGTTGCTAGACTCAATCCTGAAAAAAAAGGTGAACAATATTGTAATTTCTAGAATTTATTGTAAAATGGAATTTTTATGATCTTTAACATATATATCATTAGGTTTAAAACCTTTCCTATTTGTATGTCCATTGCTTCATGTGAAAAAAATTAAATTTAAAATAAATAAAAAATATCCTTTGCTCAATATGAAAGAAGATAAATGGACAAATATGATTATACTCTCTTCTGAACATGAACATATGTGGAAAACCAACTCTGATGAAGTCACTGATAAATTTATAAAAGTAAAAACTCAGGAATAGAAATTTTAATTTTATTAATATGATTGGACTAGACCAACATGTAGGTATGCTTATTTTTTTTCCCTTTTTATAATTTTTTTTTTTTCTGAGACAGGGTCTTGCTGTCCCCTGGGCTAGAGTGTAGTGGCATCATCATAGCTCACTGCAACCTCCAACTCCTGGACTAAAGTGATCATCATGCCCCAGCTTCCCTAGTAGCTGGGACTACAGGTGCATGTCACCCTGCCTGGATAATATTTCTATTTTTTGTAGAGATGGGGTCTCACTATGTTGCTCAGGTTTGTCTCTAATTCTTGGCCTCAAGCGATACTCCAGCCTTGGCCTCCCAAGTGCTAGGATTATGGATTTGAGCCATCACATTTGGCCAAAACAATGTATTTTCTTTTCTTTTTTGTAATAGAATATATTTTTACTGGCATGATTACATATGTTCAGTAATAGAACATTTCACCATCTTTATTTCTATTATTTTTCATTTCACTTCATGATCATTACTGATCATAGCTTGCATGTAGGGGCTGAAGTGTTAAAGCATGATCCACAACCTGGCATTATTTTATTAGATACACCACTGTTCCTGGGAAGTGGTAAAGAAACCATGGGAGTTGGCAGATAAGTCAGAAAATTACTTTTTGAGCAAAGATACAACAAAAAAGTAGATCCCAAATATGAATAGAATGCATAATATCTTCTCAGCTTTCCATGGAAAATGTAATGAAAAAAGTCCTGTGGTGCGGAAGACTAAAGTCACAGCTAAGAAACACCGATGGATCAGGTAATGGATACTGTAATAGGTATCCAAAGTTATTTTTGGAATGTATGTATATTGATGAAAGAATGATTGATTAAATACTGATAAATCATAGTAAATCATAAGGTATTAAAAGGAATTAGAAATTATCACTGCTAATTTTACAGATGTCCAGTGAGATTAATTGATGGTATAAATATGTACCAGTGATTGGTGGCAAAGATAACACTAAAACGTGTTCTGTTGACCGTTGCATTAGATTCATAATTGAGGGCACTTACAGCTTATTTCGAGTCGAATGAAGTCTTTAATGCCAAGGTTTTCTAGGAACACTCCAGACAAAGCCGTGGTTTTAAAAAAGAAGGAGATATCGGCACTGAATTCCGCGTGGAAGGGAGGGAAGTGGAGGTAAGAGGCTTCGGTATAAAATGAGACAGCATTCCAGAAGTGTCCTGCAAATGAGAAAATCCTTAAGCATGGTTTGTCATTTTCAGTGGGGTTTAGAAAGCAATGGGCATGTGGATAATTTGCAAGACTAGGGGACACTGCAGGGAAAGGGGATAAGGAGGTAAAAACATCTTGTGCTCATGTAATGCAGAGAGAAAGCTTCTTTCGATTTAGTACTCACGGTCGCCATAGCAACGCAAGGGACCAATTCTCCAAGCAGCTTCTGAGTTTGATCTGCCGGTATCAGTGATGACTATCTGAGTGACAGGCAAGTGGTCTTTGAAGGAAAGCAAGCCAGTATCATTTGCCCTAAAAAACATAAGTTTAAGAAAAAAGGAGGACAAAATGTGGATAATCTAGGGACAGTTTGCCAAAACCCCTCTTTTCAAAAGCGATTTGGGTGGTTGCAGCAAGGTAGGAGCAGAGAGGAAGACAACAGAAGGCCTTTCATCCCAGAAGCAAGTGTGAAAGGAAAGAATGCCAAGGACAAACCCCACGGCCAGCTTCCAAAAACAAGTGGGTTTTACATCTTCCCTACATATGCTTGCAGAAGCATGGACAGTTTACATGGATTTCTGCTGCTTGTTGTGGCTAAGAACATCCCACCTGCCCAATGTGTGCTAATGTGCCATTAAACGTTACCTCTCATTTCCATAAAGAGATCAGCTCTTTCAGTAACTAACGTGAAATAGGCGTCACAAATCACACTTGAAAATCACTCCAAGGACTTGTTTTAGCCACATGCCAACAGGCTTTAATCACTCTAGATGTTTCTTACAAGGGTTAAGCTCAATATACTACTTACTGCTTTGCTGCTTTTCATTTTGTTTTTAGTTTTAAAGACCTTAGTAGTTAATGATCCTGGCTGTTTTTCTTTTCCTTTTTTCTTTCTTTTTTTCTTTTTTTTTCTTTTTTGGTGAATCATGTAAATAAGATATTGACTAGTCACCTTTTGACAAGCAAGTTAAAAAAAATAGTAGTAAGCCATTGTTCCCCTCTTTTTAAGTTCCTTTTTAAAACTCATTGTTAGGGTCACGCCATTTGGCTGAGAGTGAAAATTGGATGTAAGAAACTGGCATTGGATATATAGCTATGTTGAACCAGGAATATATGAAGGGATAGGTATTTTTTTCCCAAACAATAATCCTATCCTATGCAGTAGGTGTCATTATCCCCATTTACAAATGGAGAAACTGAGGCTCATAAATATTAGATATAAGGTCACACAGAATGGCCTGAGACCAAGTCATATTTTTGGTATCCCAGTATCTGCCTCATGTCTTTAAGAACATGGTTTTAGAAGCACATAGATGTGCTCTGTGATCCCAGTCCCCAGTTCCGAGCTGTGCTAGCTTGGACAAATGATTTCATTTATGAGATCCTCAGGGCATTCAGTTTTGAAATGGAGACAATATTTACATCACAGAGTTATTGAGAGGATTAAATAAGATTATACAGTCACTTAGCATGGTGCCTGATCTGTGGTAAATGCTCAAAAATGGTACTGGTGACACCTATTTTAGTTCTCATCTCTGTCCCTGAACCACTCTGTGGCCCCAGGCAACCCAATTCATCTTGTTATGCATCCAACTATGATTCTGTATGGAGAGCTTATACTACACAGCACATGTGGGAAATTAAAGTGTAAGATTTATCATCCAACTCATGAGATTTGGAGAAAAACACCTATTAGTTCATCTTGGTTATAAATAAATCAAATATTCACCTGCACACCTATCCCTCAGGTCTATCAACCAAAAATATAAAGAAATGTATCCATTACCTGAGTGCCTGTATTTAAAGGCCATGCAAAGCCTATGGAGTAAGGCTTTTGTCTCAGTTTGAAAGTACTTCTGTGAATGTTGCATAGACACAGGAAGAAATTTAAATCTTCACATTCCAATATCTTTTCAAGCAGAGATTTTAAAACAAATTCTAAACAGCCCAAGTAGAATGGAGACCAAATCCATATTTCCTCCTGAAGAAATCCTGTCCTGCTATAGGATTTATTTCTCTCCATTTTAATTTTCAAGGTGAAAATGGTGGATTTTGAAGTCTGTCCTTCAATGCCAACTCCTGCTTCTCTGTGCACTTGGCCTCTTGTCTACATCAATTTAATGCCCTTGTGTCAGAGTGTTGGGATATACAAATAGCACTCTAAGCATGAAACTCTCTTCCAAATGACAGAGAAAAAGTCATATTTAGATTGATGATGCAAGGAACATTACTAAGAATACTTTTTATCTGAAAATAAAAAATTGTAAATTGCTCTCCAAAGTTGGTTAATGAAACAGAAACAGATACAATCTCAAATGCCTACAGGGGTCAGGCAAATAATACAAATGAGTGAATTCGGCTTTGCGTTAGTAATAAATGGAAACTGACACACAATTTGAGTTTGAAGGGGTTAAGAGACTGGTAGAAAGTGGCTGCCCTCCTTTAGGCAGGGCAGTAATATTCATTAGCAACAGGTAATTATGCCATCCATGAATATAAGACCAATGAGCCAGACTAGAATATTAATGTAAAATTTTCTATTTTCAAACCTTGGCAATGAATCTAAAATTTTTTAAAAAAGAGTAAGTGTGGTGAGAACCAACACTGAGTAGGCCAATAAAACCCACATGAGGGCTGTGTGCAGCCTGGAGGCAGCATAGCCAGCCAGGGCAACTCATATATGCGTTCACGCTTTTAGGGGCATACTGAGAATATGATTGGATTTAATTCCATTTGTGACTGACAGGTATAATTCCAATATTTCAAAACAATGGGGAGGACATTTAGGGCAATAATGGTAGTAATGGTAGTGATGGATTTTAGTCATAATAAAATTTTGCAAATTACAGTGGTAACTATTGATGCACAGGAGTCTGCAGCTATAAATCTGACTTTTTTCACACCAAGGGTAACCATTTTGCAGACTTTGACTTCTTCTGGAACAAGGTACAGGGCCCTTCATAAGTATAGTTGAGAGGTGATTGCGTCACAGGGGGAAAGCATTGTCACTGGGACCGGGCTAACATGAGTTGAATCCAATGTACTGGTTGTGTAATACAAGTGAGGTCACTGTGGGCCTTGGTTTCCTTGTCTCGACTGGTAATAATAATACTAATTTGATATTGTTGTATAGACCAAAGTGCATAATGTATATAAAACAACTAATACACTGACTAGCACGTAGCAGGGGCTCAATCAATAGTTACTGAGATTCTCAATAAAGACTGCAGTAAAAAATGTGCAATATAAAGAACATTTAAAAAGAAAGTAAGAAAGGGAACCACACCGTGGGAATGAATGAGCAGGGCCGCCAGACGCCCCAGCCTCTGTGGACTGTCGGAGCAGAAGGACAGACATGTGGTCCTCAAAGACCATTTAGCACGATTTTTCTTTAGCATAAAGAAAAAAAAAGTGTGTCAAGAAAAAACTCAAATATCTCAAGAGCAAGGGTGTGGCCCAGAATTAATTAATCAATGCAGTCTTCTCTCAGTTTAACTATCTGAATCTTGGGATTTCACCAAATTCAGATAAGCAGGGCGAAGGTGGAAGCCATGGATTTTCTAGTGTATCATTCATGTGAGGAAATGCCACGGCCTGCTCTTTATTTTCATCAACCAATTTGGAGTTGACTGCTGCTCTGGAAACATTTTTAGTAGAGTAATTTGGGTGCCTGAACCTAATAGGAGAAATAGGGGGTTTTTCCCCTTTTATGTCCTTCCCTCTTTCAGTCACTCAAAAGTAGCAAATAAAACATGCATATGACAGACAAACTTAGAATATTATAGGAAGAAGTCAAGACGCCAGCTCCCTTTGAAGCCCTTGTATGAATCCAAGTGGATCAAGCTCAAGGGACTCCGTGTGCCCTTCCCTCAAGTAGGTTACACACTGCCCGCACCCCGCGCCTGCCACGGAGCAAGGACCTGTGGTCTGCCGTGCTGCGTGGATGCCTGCCAATGGCTGCCTCAGCCTTGTTTAGGGGCAGTTATTTCCCCTCTGCCTTCTTTCTTAAGACTTGCAGATAAAAAGACCCAGGGGATTAGGTAACAAGAGGCTCAAAATGAGCTAAAAGGTTGCTTGGCTGCCAACAAAAGCACACACAAACATCCACTGTGGTCAACTCATATACAGAGTTTACACCAGGATAATATCCATCCCATTCAACACCGACCAGACCATATCTGGAATCCTATTTTCAGTTCCTAGTGTAAGAAACATGAAAAGGGAGGAAAGACACTTTGAGCATATATTTAATATTTTGAGAAACTACATTTTTGTCTATAAATACTCTAGAAACATGAAATCATAGGACTTTTCACAAATAGATGTGAGAACACAAAATCAATTGTTGGCATATACACAGTCAAGGTATACTCAATGTCACTTTGTTATTAAGAAATTAAAATGGCCCTTAAGACTTCAGAGGTATAAATTGATTTAAAAAATACTACCACTGATGAAGATTTTTGGAGGCATAATTTGTTGAGCATGCCCTGGATAAGAAGAAAGAAGCAATCAGTAGTGCCATAAATATATACCTTTCTAGATTGCTATCAGTCCAATTAAAGAAACAAGTAGGTTACAAGCCAAAGGTATTGGATTGCATAGGACATTCATGATTCAACAACTCTTAGATCCGGATGATTCCCAAATATATCTCTCTCATTCTCTGAAACAGATCAATTGTTTGTGTTGTCCAACTCTCCAAATTTCACAAAACTCAAATCTGATTCCTACTCAAAAATGTCCCCAAATGGTCTACATTCTCCCTTCCTCCTCTGTCTTAATTTCATTTTTTGCACACAATTCGTTTTGACATTTGTTTGTTAACTTATGTATGTATAATTATTGTTTTCCCCATTAGAATATGAGCAGATAGTATGTAGGAAATAAGCTCAACATTAATCAGCAATATGGCAAGGGTATCTACAAAGTTAGACCGTCTGTACCCACTGTGACTCCCTCCCCTTACCCACTGCGAATCGTTCATCCTCCGTTTTGAATCCCATTTTTTCCTGCTTTCTCAGGGCACTTTCTCCTGCAGCTGCAACTTCTGCCTTTATGCTTGCATGCTTTAGGCAGCCCTACCTCTCAATCTACTTACTTCTCTTTCTCCTTCCTCTTTAGGTAACTGTCTGCATTCTCTCTTTTATCTCATCTTCCTCTGTTCCCCACAACACTCAGCCTTTTCCTTTTTCACTCCACGGAGACTTCTCTCACTAACTTGCTAATTTCCATAGAACATGCCAGCTGCTAAGTTACCTCACTGTGTTCTATCATTTTACATTTTACGTCTTGCATCTGCCTTCTTTCCT